AATTATTTTTGAAATACTAAGTTTCTTAAATTTACACTTTATAAGAATTGAGCCTCCATTAAAACATATTTTCAAGCTAATATTTACAATTTTCAAGTGAAGGGAATTAATGGGTTTTGAATTTCAGAGGGAGGATAGTGAACTTCAAAACTATTAAAGGCATATCCAGATATAGTAATCCTCACATAAAAGTAGAAAGAATTGAAAATGTTCTTAAAAGTAAAGCATAAGTAAAAGAAAAGTAAAAGAAATGAAAAGTAAGGAGAAGCTTAATTAAAATTTGGTCTCACTTGAACCTTCTTAAAAGAGAAAACTTATATACAATCTTAAGCTTGATCTTATTAGTTAAGTCTTTACTAATAAAGTGGTTAAATTTATGTTTCTTAAACTTTGTAGGAATCCCAAGTTTGACAAATTGCAAGTAATTTAGAAATGGATAGAAAATCTGAATTCATAAGTTGAATACAAAATATTCTTATACCCTAGTTCTAGCCTTATTCACTAAAATTTCTTCTAAGTTGCACAATGATATTCTTGAGGCAAAATTGTGGGAAATCTTAATGAAGCCCATTACTACAATTCAACAAATTTGATTTTTAAAATTCTTGGTGTTACTTCAAAATAAGTAAAGTTTAAGTTTGGGGGATTTTGATATATCTTGTAGCATGCTCAATTTTCTTTACATTTAATACTTATTTTTCAAGATATTGCACTGTAAAGAAATGGTTTTTTTGTATTTTTATTGCAGGTATAACAGGTAAGATGATTGGAACAAAATTGGATTGAAACAAATGAGAAATGAAACCTTGGGGAATAGGGAGCTTCTAGCACACTAGCACTTAGGCGCTAGCCTTTGGTGCTAAGGCGCTCTTCCCTGGGGCCTTAGGTCCAGTTCAATAGCACCTAGGTTCACAACTTATCCAACAAATCGAGAACATGGATGGGGCCTTGGTGCCAGTCCAGCAGCGACTAGGCACCAGTCATTATCCAGGAAAACAAAGAGAGTGGCGCCTTAGCGCCAGTCCATCGATGCCTAAAGGTTAGAACTATCTGAGACATTTTTTGCAGTTGATTATGCACACAATTAGAATTTAAGAAGCAAGTGGAGCAGTTCAGAGGGAGAAGAGGATCAATGTGGAAGACTTAGAGAAAGTCTAAGGGTGCAAAAAAGGAGAGTTTAGACCTAGGGTTTACTTTTTTCTGCATTTTCTTTTAGAAATTTGAGAGAATATTGTAAATGAATACTATTATCAGTGCAAGGAACATTGGTAGATCACTTGGGGAGAATTTTTCACTTCTTTTCTCAGTGATAAAGTTAAGTGTTTCATTTTACACTATCTTGTAATTGTTGTAAATTCATTTTTTATGAATTTGCTTTATTATAAAATGATTAATTGTTGTGTTTTCTTCATGCATTGTAAGTAGATCTTTTATACCCTTCTCTTGTGATGAATTAGTAGTATGTGCGGGATATTTGGTTATATTTAGAATAGGTTGTTAATCATTAAAGTGATGGCTTTACTTTGTTCTTAATTTACTTATCATTCTGGTCAAGTGATATGTCAAAATCTATTGTGAATCCATAATGACTCGAGAGAGCTATGACTTTAAAAACTAGGAGAAGTCACATTGCACTAGTGGGTGAAGGAAAAATAGTGCATAGGACAGTGAGAATAGATAGTGAAATAGCCTTTCATGGTTTCAAATTGGAGTTTCTAGAGTGACAGACAGAAACATTAACCAAGTTTGAACCAAACTTCTTTATGCACTTGAAAGAGGGTAAATAAGAGATTTTCTCCTATTTGTCACTTACTACAATATCTATTCTAAGTATTCCATTCCTATACACATTATTTATGCCATTATAAGGGAAAAGTAGTGTTTATCTCTTGATCTTCCTCAATTTAATTAGCTTTAGAAGAGTTAATATAAGAGTAATTCGATATAAGTAGTGATAATTTTATAGGATTAACAAGCATAACTTAGATCAACTATACTTCCAGGCTAAGACTCATTACAGAAGATTATAACTTTTCTCATGTGTAAAATCACAGACTTTTGTGTGGGATCAAAAATCTGGACTCATTAGTCCGATATCACTTGAACAATACATATACTTACATAAAATACTAGTGTGTAGCACTTCATTGCGTTAAAATCAAGATTCTAAAAATTATATAACTATTTATGATTTCAAAGATTTCATCCATAAGCATTGGGATAGATAACCCAAGTAGGTCGGGTATCACGTATAATAGTTCTTTATGGGCCAATAAGCACCTCAACTACAACATCAAAGCACTACTCCTTGGCTTAACAACCTTTGGATGGACATCCCCAAAAACATTGTAGTTCCATGTTCTCTGAGCTGATAAAACTTATTTGTGTAGCTTCCACAAGATGTACCAATCATTCCCCACAAAAGGCAAAGGCTTCCACATAGTTTCAAAAAGAACAAGAAAAGAGGGGTGAGAAGACCATATATTAAAATATCTGAAGTGATAAGCAGAAGGTTTAGAGAAATGATCAAACGATAGTAGCAAGGGTCTATGATCAGAGCCTGCACAATTTAGATGAAAAACCTTAGAGACACTGTATGAATTGAGCCAATCCTAATTGGTGAATATTCTATCCAATCTCTCCACTAACTTCCCTCTTATCCAGGTAAATTTAGGGCCCAAGAAGCCCAAATCAAACAAATTGACCTCTCTTTGCCATATCATTAAATTTGGACAAGAGGAAAGAGTCAAACCTCTTACCCCGTTTTTTTCAGAATAATTTAGTATCATATTGAAGTCACTACCAACAAACCATCTATCCTTTGTGAGTTCACTAATAGCAACAACCTTCCTCTATAGCTCCAGCCTATCTTGGTAAATAATACTAGCATATAAAAAAGTAGCCCAACCCTTATAATCATCTCCGGCAAAATGAGCATGAATAAACTATGCACCATCATAAAGAAGTGAAAAGTTGATATCCTTTTTCAAAAACACCTAAATTTTATTTGAAGAGTTTTTAAGAACATTAAAATGTTTGAAATTTAGAAGAACCTTCTCCATATTAACATTAACTGAAAGTTCCAAAATAGTAAAAAATGTCAAGTTTGTGGACCCTACAAAAAAATTTTAATCTATTAAGGGAAAGCGGGTGAGCCAATCTCTTAATGTTCCAAATCAAAATCTTAAACATGATTCCCCAATCTTCCACTCCTTAAAACTCTAGTGAGGGTTTGTTGACGAGTCCCTTCAGAGTAATAACCTTCCTCATTCGGTAGGCTATTCTCCTCACTAATGTGACTCAATTCATTGGCTCTTTTTTTCTTTTTGGATTTCTGAATAATCCATTCCTCCTCCAAGTTTGCTAAAGCACCTTCCAAAATAGATTTATGCTAAATTCTTCCCCTCCAATCTCCTTCCCAACAAAGTCATCATTTCCTTGCACTTTTTTTACCTCCTTATCAAAGGAGACATCACCAACTACTGGCTCACCATCATCAACTACTGGCTCACCCTTATCCTTCCCAACATCATTATTATTTATGAAAATAACCGTTTCATTTTCCTTGTCATGTAGACCTACCCTTGTCCCTTCATAATTTTTAAGCCATGATGGAGATGAAATCATTGAGCCTTCAAATGCCCAAACAGTTTACAATTAGTAAAATAGAAATGATGTTGTTCCAAGATAACTTTCTGTCATTACCCATTATGAGAGGAACCAATCCAAATCTCTTTTGTTGGAGTCTGTGTAATGTCTCTTTCCACCAAAACCCTAGCCAAAACAGGTCGTGTAAGTGAAAAAAATGAGAGAATCCATTTTAAGGGCCTACCAAAGACAACCACCAAAGAACAAAGGATTTCATGTTTGAAAAGATGTAACTTAAGCCCAGTAAAACAGATCCATACAGGAACTATTGGGGGTTATGTATGGGGATCAAAATAAATTGACCATTTAGACAGTTTCATCACTCGATTGTCCACCCTAATGACTTTTCTAGCAAATCATCATGCATAATCTTCCTCATTTTCCAACTGAAAAAGAATATGTCAGTCATCCAAAGGGTCCAACTTCCAATTACCCTTATGTTTGAAATTTTCAAAGTCTCTCCGAATCAGATCTAATTTATGGTGATCATACAGAAATTTACCTACCAACGCCAAATGACAAGAAATCGCAAGAGTAGAGCATTCATTCTCAAAGATATAAAGGGCAGATTTACCAATCTTTTTTTGCCAACTTTCTTCTCCAAAGAGTTTTCGCCCGAACCTTGAAGAGAATCGTGAAATGTTTGTGGAAACACCATGTTTTTAAGAGAATTCCCCGCCGAAGAACCTCTGGCACAAATGTGTGTAACGCCATCAGAAGTGAAAACTTAGGGTAAAAGTAGGTCCTAAACGCTAGAGAAAAACACAATTCGTTAATAGGAACTAGCTGCCGAAAATCACCCTGAAGTCACCAGAGACAAACCCTAAGCGCATAATATATATATATATATTCTGAGTTAGAATGAACC